GGTCAGAGACCAGACTATCAATTGCTCAAAAGCTATATCTGTTTGAATTGGAAGAAAATTAAAGCAATCTTAGAGAGCCAACATACAGCCCACCTTGAGTCTAACTCACTTTAATTTGAAGAACATGACATCAATAACATCCTTTAAGAAGAAAAAGGTCGTTTAAAAGACTGGAAGGAGAAAGCTAAGAAAAACATGGATGTCAGAAGAGGCTCTAAAATTTGATTTTTAACATAGAGGCCCGTGTTAGTCTGGGTGGACTAGAGAAACAAATTCATTGGCATTCACAAGAAAGAATCTTATATACAAGAGCAGTTATATATTGAGAAAACATCCAGCTTAGTCCAGATCAAGACAAGTCCTATATGTCCAATATCAATCTATAAATTACTCTTCAAACACATGCAACACATGCAATGATGCCGAATGCAGGAATATCACAGGCCACTGGGTGGAAAGTCTTGTGGATCCAGGGGCTGTGGAAGCATCTCAGTGCTGGCGTGGGTCTCCACATGGCTCCTCCAGCTCTAGGGTTCTGGCTCTATCAGCAAAGCTCCATATGGCTTGTCAACAGGAATGTGTAGCAGAAAGAGAGTGTGTGTCCCACCTCCAGGGAGGAAGACAGAAATTTCCAGAATCCTCAGGAGAAGGCCATGTCCATACAGAGGCATTATTGGCTGTGACCTGATTGACAGGCTAAACTCCACCCTTTCGTAAGTGGGCAATAGATAATGTAACAGCCGCAAGGCCCAAATCCCAAACCCCACTGCCTCCAATCAATTCTGACTCATGGTGCCTCATTTAGGGTTTTGAAGGCTGCAAACGTTACAGAAGCAGTAGCCTGCACTGTCTCTTGAGGGTCAGACTCAATGGCAGCTAAGAACAACACAAAACAACATTGCAATCTCGATTAAGGGAAGAATGTCCTGGTCTCATGGGCGTCATTTTTTCGTGTATGAAATTGAGGCGAAAATGGCACGTTTTGAAATCACGTCAGCATACTGTATTAAGATTTTCACATATGTATAGCTTTTCTAGTTAATTGACATTCTCCTTCACCCAAATTAAAAATGCTTTTTATCTTAAATTTTCTATTCCCCACCTTAGACAATGTCACTTGAAATAAGACACTTTCTTCCATCCATTGCTACACTTTTCAAGTGTTTATATATAGTTATCTCTCCCACTGAGTTTTAATTTAACTGTAACCTGGTTTTAGAAATGTGACTCTTTCCAAAGAAGCCAGTCCCCCTTTCCCTTTAATCATTCCATTCCACAGCTCTCTGGTCCTGAGCACCAATACTATTTCTAGTGATGATCAGCCCGAGGGCACAAAGAAGAGTAGACTTACATTGGGAAGTGCAATAATGAACGACAATGTACATGTGCAATGTTCCTGGCATCAAAAACCCAAGCAGGGAGTTAGCTACGAAGAAGCCTCATGTCCAATGCCACCAGCAGCTCTGCCAGAGAAAGGCTGGGCTTTCTACTCCCATATTCAATTACAGTATAGAAAACCCACAAGGGGGTCGACCCGAGTCACCGTTGACTCAATGGCAGTGGGTTTGGAGTGAAGCAGGTGAATACTGTACTACATAACTTGCATTTCAGGAGCCCAGGTAGTACACTCAGAGCACTGGCAAAGCAATCAGAGAAGCATTGTACTGCTAACCACAGGGTTGGAGGTTCAAACATCCCAGCTGTTCCTCCGAAGAAAGATCGGGATGTCTGCTCCCATACAGATTCATGAAGTCTAATACACCCTGCAAAGATTTGAAATAAGTCTTAATCAACTCGATAGCTGAAGCTTTGTTTTGTTTTGGCTGCCCCCACACCCTAAGAGGTGTGGTGTAGGAAGGTAGCGCGTGGGGAAGGGCTGGGTTGCACAGTCTGCTTCTGTAAAGATTATGTCATTGGGAACCCTGTGGGGCAGTTCCCCTCTGTGCCACAGTGTTGCTACGTGTCTGAAGTGACTTCAGGGCAATGGGTAAGCTTGCTTTTAAATCCTGATACAAATCAAGTTTTTCACATGCACTTAAAAAGCTATGGAAGAAAAAGAAAACCCTGAAGTCATCTAATAATATGCGTCATCTACAACTTGATTACATGAAGGTTGCAAGGATTTCTGGTGGGACATTTAAAAGCAGATAGGAAATTAAAGATTGCCTAGGAAAGATAATTGCCGGTGATCTCTTGTTTCTCTGTAAACACCAAGCGAGGAAAATGTGACACTAGATGGCAGCATTGCCACGTGTTTTCTTTCCAAAATAAAATGGCCTTGAAATCGTAGGAAAAATAGTCGCAATATTAATACACAAATACAACCATATTATAAAATCAGCCTATCTTATTTGACAGCTATTTCCCACCCTCCTCATATTTATGATCAAGAAACATTATTTTCTAAGTGTGAAACCTTAAGCTGCATGAATCATTGGAACTCTGTAATATACATGGTCTGGCTAAAGAGAATGCCTCATATAAATAACAGGAAAAATGGGTGGCTGCTGCTTATTAGGCTAATAGTTCCTCAAGATTTTGAATAAAACAGATTCTTGGCATAGTGAAGGAAAAAAAAGGTGACATTAAAAGCAGCTAAGCAAAAACACAAGGAAAGTAACATTCACCCTAGAGCATGGAATTCTGTCACAATTAAGTATGGAGGTGCTCAATTTCAAAGGTGACAGCAAATGTTGCTAATTGGGATCCTAATAAAGTAAAAATCATCTATGAGTTCTACCCCAAGGTGGTTAGATTTGGGGAACGTTTTTAAAGGGCAAAAAGCCTTCTTGGGGACACGAGTCATTAGGGTGGCAGGGCAAAGACAAGACACCATTTCTCAAGGAGAAGTCCACTCTTTAGCTCCTGAAAAAGATCAATTTTTCTTGATGACGAGCTTGCAACGAACTATTGGAGCACTAAATGGGTCCTAAACCGCATTGTTGTTCACTCACTGAGTTCTACATAGTCTCTGGGTCTGATTTCAAATCACAGAGGGCTGACTCTCCCCTTCACAAGCCTAGTTCCGTTTAAAGAATAGAACTCTGCTTCCACTGGGAATCCCCAAATGATTGAGCCGTTCCTTCGTCTTATTCTCTCTCCAGGGATGACCTGGCAAAGAGGGCTCTGAGCTGTAGAGCATCAAGGCACCTGAGACGGCAACTTTCAGAGAAGAAGATTTGATTCTTTGTGTTTAGAAGCCCATTTCTCCATGAGAAAGGAACATTTTATTTTATGGGAGTCCCAATTGTTCTGGCTAAAATGTCAGACTTTAGAAATAATGCCTTGGTGCTTACATTTCAAGATTGAAACCTTTAATTTTCTGGATTTGTGATCACATTCTTATATAGTGTAAAGGCCACAGGAGATAGGATGAATAGAAGAAAATTAAAGCAAGGATATAAAACCTTATAAAACAATCAATCTATTTAACCTTAATGGCCAACTGAGACAAACAGCGGGTACATTGAAAGAGAGGGACAAGCTGCAAAAAGGGGTTCCAATTACTAAAAGTATTCAATGATGGAGACAACACATATGTGTTGTAGTTGACATCTCATAATGTTTCTGCATTTAGAGTGCAAATATTCTTTACTAAGAAGTGTGAATTTCCTAGTTCTGGTTTCTGCAGTCCTCCAAAGGAAAATTACCTGCACTTTTTTGGTCAACAATTGTGAATCCTTTAAACATCTCTTTGTAAATCCTTACCACTCACCTGTGGTTTTTATTTTTCCCTTTAGGGGAAAAAAAACAAAACAAAAATAAAAATAAAACTTTTTCATTTTCTCTAAAATGTCTTCTCTAAAATATCCCCCAAAGATTGCAGGTGTGCCTCCTCTATTTGGGGTGCTTGATGAAACCTGGCTCACCTTTATCATTTCAGCCCTTGGGAGATGTCAACAGATCTTCTGCTACTTTCCCCTAAATCTCTTCCAGTGCCATTGGATTGAATGGACTGAGGTGAGCCCACATACTCTCAGTTCAAAGGCAGGCTATGATATCGATTCCAGAGACCTTTCCTAATTTTGAATTTAATTTGAAACTGAAGTTTGTGCAAGGAAAACGCAACACGGCCTAAATCAGAATACAGGACAATTAGTGTAAGTCTTTGTAAATAATTATCTTAACAAAGGTGATTTGGGGAGGGGTCGTTAAATAATTAAATGTATTCCTCTCTGAGAGAGTTTGTGCCCGTTTTTTCTCTCCACCTGCATTTCTCTCTTAAGTTATGCAGGGAGCTGCTCTTGGGTCAGCTACAAAAGCGAGATCAATAGATGGAGGCAAGCCTCTGCCCTGGCAGAATTCCTCCACTTTGCCTGGAGTTGCCTGATGGCATTGCTTCTCCCTTGTGTGTGGCGTGGGCTTCCCCCATCCGTCTGGCCAACAAGTCCCCTTTCTACAGCGTGCCCGCTGACGCGCTGCAGACACAGCCGAGCGCAATCCAGTGCTAGGCGCCCACGGGCCACAGCTCGCTCCCCGGCTGGGATTGCGCCCTGGCCAGCTTCCTTCCCCTCTCTGCGGGTAGGGATGGTTGAGTCCAGCCGCCTCGGCAGCGGCTCCTTGTGCGGGTAGCAGCCTGTCTTCGGAGCTCT